CTGCGAAGCGGGGAGGGGGGCTGCGAAGCGGGTAAGGGACTGTGAAGCGGGGAAGGGGGCTGCGAAGAGGGTGAGGGGGCTGCAAAGAGGGTAGGGGACTGCGAAGTGGGTAAGTGGGCTCCGTGCAGGCTGGGGAGGAGAGGGTGGCCCGTGGGAGCTGGGGACACACAGATGCTGAAGGTGCCTTCAGGCCTGCGGTTTGTCCTGGGTTCAGCTGCCCCTGGGTTGTCGTGGCCGCAAGGGAGAAAGAGGAAGGTAAGTGGGCTATCGCTGAGTATCAAATCATTAATGAAACACCAGGCACTGCGAGGTTCCGCATCGGAGTGCCGCTTTTACGGTGGTACCTGCCTTTACAGGGCCTCCCACAACACCTGGCCGTTTCCACAGTCTCCGATCAGCCAGGTGCCGTTCTCACATCTGCAGACCTTCAGGGAAAAGTTGTGCCAAGGGCAGGTGCTACTGTAGAGCTGGAGTTTTGTTGATTGCTTCTCCCAGTTCAAGCCGTGTCTTTTGTTCGTGATAAATGCTTATAGACAGTGATTAAATTGCAGCGCGTCAACAGAATTTGATGTAGAGACGTCTGCTTCTTTGCAGATGGTGCATTGGTGAATGAGCTATACAGTTTGCTTCGTGATCAGGATCCTATTGTAGTCGTGAATTGTCTGAGGGCCTTAGAAGAGATCTTAAAGAAGGAGGGAGGAGTTGTCATCAACAAACCCATTGCCCATCATCTCCTCAAGAGGTTTGTTTTCTTTGATATTACCATGGTACTGGAAACTTCATTCTCGTTCTTGCATTTGCATGCTAGCAATGCAGGTATTTCTGGGCTCCTGTCAGAACTTGAAGGGAAGAGTCAGGCACCCAAAGATGGTGGTGCCCATCCTAAGAGAAACCAAATTACTTTTATGCTAAGACCTTAAGAGAAATCTGAGATGCCCTGCTTTTCCAGGGAGTCTTCGCTGCAGTTGGTGGTTTGTTTTGGAGTTGTAAGTTAATGTGATTAGGGTTGGGTTTTTTTGATGACAGTATACATGATATATTTGTGGGACAGGTATGTTCTAGTATGTCTCTCTTAATCCCTTGAAAGATACATAACTTATCCATTGCTTGAAGAAATTAACTTTAGGTAATTCTAGATAGAATAATGCAGATAATTGTATATGATCTGGCAAAGGAGGGGCATTGGTCTGCCCAGGGCTCTTGTCAATGTTGCTGTCTGGCTTAGAGCACCAGCAAAAGTGCACGACTGATACTGGGTTAAGCCTATGTGCATAAACTGGTCAATTCTCTTGAGATGGAATTGTGGTATTTACTTCTGAAGCATAGCATTTGGTTTGGAACAGAGACTGTAAGAAACTCAGAGGCTAAGGCCTCTACTCTGCACAGCGCAGATCTTTGTGCGCTTCTTGACTCCTGCAAACTGTGTTTATTCTCTTGGCAGGATGGCTGATCTGGATCAGTGGGGGCAAAGCGAGGTGCTTACCTTCCTCCTGCGTTACAGACCCCGCAGTGAGGAGGAACTCTTCGACATACTCAATTTACTGGATGGCTATCTGAAAAGCAGCAGCCCTAGCGTTGTGATGGCAGCCACCAAGCTTTTCCTAGTGCTGGCCAGGGAGTACCCACATGTGCAGGCAGATGTTTTGGTGAGAGTGAAGGGACCACTGCTGTCTGCCTGCACTTCTGAGAGCAGGGAGCTCTGCTTCACTGCGCTGTGCCACGTGCGTCAGATCCTTGGTAGCCTTCCTGGCCATTTTAGCAGCCACTACAAGAAGTTCTTCTGTTCGTATTCAGAGCCCCACTACATCAAATGCCAGAAGATGGAGGTGTTGTGTGAGCTGGTGAATGATGAAAACGTACAGCAAGTGCTGGAGGAGCTGAAGGGCTATTGCACTGATGTGTCGGTAGAGCTTGCCCAAGGGGCGATCTTCGCCATAGGTAAGAGCTGTGTCTCGCCTCGGGAGCAGCTGCAGCCCTAGACCTTTAAGGTGGGCCTTTCTCTGCTGAAGTATATCTGGGCAAATGCCAAATAACTGCTCTGTGCTGAAGCAGTACAGCCCTCTGTAGACCCGCCTCCCCAGGATTGTTTTGTGTGAGTGTGTTTCTAAACCACGATTGTGCTGATTTTTTCAGAAGTCCGGGTATTGAACTGTTTCAGGTTGCGCATAATGTCCTTGAATCTCGTTCAAATGTCTGTGCTCTGAAGAGATGCTCTAAAGAAATTGTGTCATTTCATCTTATTAAGGAGCCTTATAGTGTTGAATGAAACTGTGTAGTGGGTGGAGGAGCTGCTCTAATACCTGCTCGTTCTTTGAGTTGTGATGGGGGCAGAGTTAAAGTGATTTGGGGCACTTTAGTTTTGTTTTTGTAAGCTTTAAAATAGGTGAATTTCTATAGTATTCATAAGGAGAAAGCTAAAATGCCTTTCATAAGTGTTACATCTAAGAAAAGTTCAGGCTTCTTCTGAAGCATGGCTTCAGAGAAAGGAACATATCCCTTGTGTGGGGAACAAGCTCATTTGACTACACTTTCAGAAATCGTAGCCAAAAAGGAAAAGAGAGAGACTGTTTCTTCAAAGTGAGTTTGTGATGTATAGTTGGGCTCATGGTTCCTATTTCACTCTGATGAAGGATTGACTTTCATGTGCTTTGGTGTCTCTGCAGGCAATATTGCTAGGACATACACAGAAGAGTGCAGCAGGAACATATCACTTCAGGTAATCATCTGCAGGTTGTTTGCCTGGCTTACGCTTTCAGAAAGCGGCCTTGCTGGGCCTTGTGATCCCAAACCCGAGGCTCTGAAAGGCACTTGGCTTTTAATTGGGTTGGCATCTTCAGGTGGAAGTCTTCCTGGTGGAATGGGGGTTACAGTGTGACCAGACATTGTAGTTTTTCTTTCCTTAGGAACTACTTTTTGTGGTGAAGGGGGAGATGGTCATAGCTGTGTTCATGGTCTGATGTGGAGGCTCCTTCCTGGCTGCTGCCCGCTGACTTAGACAGTGAGGGACTTGGCAGAGACATTTTAGTGACTGTTTGAGGGCCAAGATGATTAATAGACCTTTTAAATCTTTGTGATTTATGTTCCTCATATAATAGTCTGATTCAGTTGTACCCAGGCGTCTCTTTTTCTTCTGCTGCCCTCAGGTCTAACTTCATATCATTGCTGGTTCTGCCCTCTCTTTTAAATGGTCTTGCTTTCAGTTTTGAAAATCACACACTTGCACTCAGCTGTTGAATTAGGTCTTAGAAGCTGCTGGTGTTTCTGTAAGTGGGCAGCAGAGCCTTTACAATTTTGACCTAAAGTTCATGAGACTTGTTTTGAATTGGTGTTAGTTTTAATTTGTCATTCTAACCTTGTGTGTCTGAAGCATCATGAGTCAGTGTCTTTTCAAAGGCTGGGGAATGTCCAGAAGAGAGATTACTTTCCAGCAGCCAGAGGAACAGTGTGAAGTTTCAGTGCTTTATTTTAGACTTGGTGCAACTTTGCTCTGACGAATGCAGCGTCATGCGACTTTGAAGAAGGGTGTCTCAACTCATAGTCACAAGCAAGGCCTTTTTTGGCTGTGTCCCCAGTGCACAGATGCAAATCCAGGGAGATTTGCAAAGTCTCTTGAGTGGGGTTTTTTGGATTTTTTTTTTTCCCCCCCTAGTGGTCTTATAACTTTTGAGGAATGCTGAGCATTTTTTTTCATTGCAGCGGTAGTTCAGGCTTTTCGGGACCTGGTTTGGCTGTGTCCCCAGTGCACGGATGCAGTGTGTTGGGCACTGCCTGGCTGTGAGGACGCCATCCAGGACAGTGAGGTAAGCTGGCTTTGTGCCTTGGGCTGGCAGCTGTTGAGCATGGGTGGACAATGACTAGTTTGGCTTTCCTTTGGCTCGCGATTGGCGGGCAAAAATCGGAAATCTGATCAGAAGACTTGTTCTCTCCTATCTGTTTATTTCATGTCAGCACTTTCTGGTAAACAGCGCCTATTTGCTTTTTTTTCTGTGGTTCCTTCAGGGCAAACAAGCACTGATCTGGCTCCTGGGCACACATGGTGAGAAAGTACCAAATGCCCCCTATGTTTTGGAGGACTTTGTGGAGAACGTGAAATCAGAGATGTTCCCAGCAGTGAAAATGGAGCTTCTGACAGCATTGGTGCGGCTTTTCCTGTCTCGTCCTGCTGAGTGTCAGGACATGCTAGGGAGACTGCTCTATTACTGCATAGGTGGGTTCCCTTCATTCTGTGTCACTGAAGCTGTAGTACAGGCTTTTTGGGACCTGGTTTGGCTCTGGCCCCCGTGCATGGATGCTGTGTGTCAGCATCTCCTCCATCTGTGAGGAGACCATCCAAGGTAAGGTGGCTTTATGCCTTAGGCTGTTACTTGGCTCCTAGCTGTCTGCTTGGTGAGTGTAACAGGCTTACGCTGTATCCCTGGGAGGCTGTTTTTAGTAGTTAAGGGTTAGTACTTTGGGGAAATCTGGATGATAGAATTCCCCATAAATTATGTCCCTCTAATTCCCAGAGGAGGAGATGGATATGGCAGTACGAGACCGTGGATTGTTCTACTATCGCCTTTTGCAGTCTGGTGTGGAAGAAGTGAAACGGGTGCTGTGTAGCCCCAAGTCTGACCCCTCTCTGGGGCTCCTGGAAGACCAAACTGAGCGACCTGTGAATACATGGGCTTCAGAGTTTAATACTCTTGCACCAGTTTACGGCAGAGAACGCTGGGCACTTGTCACTGCTCACCAGCCAGCAGAACCCTCTTACGCTTGTTCTCCTTGTACTGGTTCCGGGAACAGAGACACAGGTAACCCGCCTCACCTTCATCTCAGATCCGTTTTTGCCTTGTCAGTAGGTGTTCTCGTGTGGGTTTCTTTGGAAGATCACAGTGCTTTGAGAATACTGTGTCAGCTTTCTGACTGTCTTGTGCAGTGCATGGTTGATCACTGCTAAAGGCACTGTGATTCCAGCCCTCTTCATCTGATGGCTCCATAAGATGATGTTTGTGAAACTGGGAGCTGCACATTATATGCTGCACCTCACATGTTTGTGGTTTCATTTCAGAGTCGCTGATTTCTGAAGGCAATAAAGAAGTCCTCAAGGTTCATCCCGATACAGGCAGCCTGACCTTAATTCCTGATGTTTACCTGACTGCCGAACAGTTTGAGAAGACCTGGCTGAGCTTGGACATGAGCTGCCACCTCTCTCTGCCCTGGTGCGGGACTGTTCATCCAGATACCATACAGACAGCTCTTCACGTTGTCCACATCCAGACTATTGCTATGAGCAAAGCTGGCGTCCAGCCGTGGAAAGCTTATCTCAGTGCTCAGGATGACACAGGTTGCCTCTTCCTAACAGAGCTCTTGCTTGAGGCGGCAGATTCAGAGATGCAGGTTTCAGTGAAGCAGAGTGAGGCAAAGCCGGAGGCACTGCAGACCTTTATTTCAGCCTTAAGGATGGTCATGGGGGCAGTTGCTGGACTGGGGTCCTGATTGTTCCCTGCTCCCGGTAGGATGCTTGCTCAGGGCCCAGGAAAAATTTCTTTCTTTCTCTGGCTTCATGTGCCACACTTGATGCTGGTTTTGTATTTTAAACTGTGGGAGCGTTAGCAGCCCTTTCCTGGGGCAGAGCTGGGCCGAGCAAGCACATGTGGCGTGGGGGTAGCTGCAGCTGGGGAGCGGGGCAGGGTGAACGGTCTGTCCTCCCTCTGGGCTGGGGAAAGGACAAGGTAATGCATTCGTGAGCTCTCTGCTTCTGCTGTGAGTCACAGAAGTGGCATCTGTGGTGATTGTCACAAGACACTAACGTGACTGATGGAACCAGAAACGAGCAAAATTCAGGCATGTGTTTTGGAGAGGTTTTTTTTTCATGAGAATTGTAAATTATTCAAAATACAGTTCAGAGACTCTAGGGCTCTGCTTGTTATCTCACATTAAGAGGAGCAGTGCAGTGAAGAGAGAAGTATTTAGTTCTTGGTTCCCTTTACATGTGATTTAGTTTTCTGCCTGATAGACAGATTTCGATAGTATTTATGGGTGAACGGGGCTCTGCTGTGTCAGAGATGGGTGGACAGGGTACATCGTGCTCACTAGAAAGAGTCTGTTTCTTTTTCAAGAGAAAAGTGTATCTTCTAGTTGAAATGTGTTACTGAAGTCATGAATCGCCCTCTCTGAAATTCCCCCCTCAGGGCTACTGTAAGGAAACGCAGGAGTGTGCAGGTTGTGTATGATGTGTTTGCCTGAGTTAACGTGGCCTGAGTTTTGTAGCCTGCATCACTTTGGCCATGTCAGTGAGCTGCCAGTCCTTGGTACTCACACCAGCAATGGAAGAATTGGTGTTTAGATAATTAACCTGTATGGAATATTAAATTTTTGCTGATACTGATTTTTACCATTTGTTACTTTGTAACTAGAATGGGTATTTAAAGGTTTGTTTTCTGTGTAGCACTTATTGCTGTGCAGTACTGTTGTCTGAAAAGCGGATTTGTTACCCGGTGTGCAATAAGCCGATCATCACACACTCAGGAGACACACTGCTACTTATTTCAGGTTTGCACAATCCTGGGTGCTCAGTGGTTTCCCAGAAATCAAGCACACCTTGGTAAAGATACAGTGACATTTTATACATTCTTAGTATCTGTTATCAGTGTTTTACAGTTCCACGTATCCATTCTTGCTTCTATTGGTTCTCGCAAGCCTGTCTCCTACTTAAAGGTACAGTGTGTTTTAAATTTACAGAGCCTGCTCAGTGGGTAGGGGTCTTTGCTTGGGCCGGGGCTTCATTGCTGGAGGTGTGGTTTTTACCATGTTAATTAGGGTCGTTCTCTCCTAATTCAAGTGATTCTCCTTGGTCTGAGCAGCAGTTTTACTCCCTTTGCACTTTCTTGGTATTTTCTAGTCTGACTGATTTATGTTGCCATCTTGTTCCGTCTTATTCCATGTCTTATTAACTATCTACAGAGGTCGCACAGTACCTTTGGTTTGTTTCTCCCATGTCTTCAACGCTGTCAGCCTGTCCTCACAATCCTGTACGTGAGGTGGTGCGGTGCCACGTGCCTAAATTTTTACAGTTTTTGAAGTTCTACTCTGGCCAGCCTGGGGACTTGTTTTTTGAAGAGCGTGTCAATAGCGTTCCATCTGCTCTGTTGAAAGTTACGGAGAGTTGGACTTTGTACGGTGTCATGAAAAGTGTCCTTGTCGCAGCCATGTTTTACGCAGTGGCAAAACCCTGAAGAAGGCTCCTTGGCTTAAGGCTGAGGTACATGGGTTGTACTATTAGATACTATAAGAGTGCTTTATGGTACCCTGTAAGGAGTGGCTTTGTTAACCCTATTCTGTAAGATTTCTTGTAATTTTTAATTTCTTTTAATGACTGTATTGTACCTTTAAATTGCAATATGCCTTCCCTGCACTTCACTGAAACACTGCTGCCACTGTTAAACAACAGGTTTTAGATTTCATTGGCTGATTTTTCCTAATAAAAATGTGAACCGTTCCTGGCTGTTTTCTGGAGTACTTGTTCGTTCAGCTCTGAAGTCCTGCGGGATGGGGTCATCCGATCGCTGCCGTCGATCCGGAGAGAGCTGCGGTCCAGCACCTGCCTTTGTGTCAGGCAGGGCTCTTCCCTCTCAACTTCCTTGAAGCAAGGCTTGAAGGAACAATTGTTCAACGACTTATTTCAGTCTCAAATGCCAAATTACTGTAACAGGTGAGCTACCTACGGGTGAATTCAAAGGAAGGTAAGAAGTCGGCTGTAGCAGGGCTCCTATTAACAGTTGCCAGTGTCTTCGTGCATATGTTGTATTCCTGTCCTTACGGAGAGATGCATTGGAGCGTTGGCATTATGCAGTTTGTAGGAAAAAAAACAGTTGATAGCTTGTTGGCAAGCTATCATTTACTGCGCTGTGGCTAGACCAAGTCTAGTCTTTGTCTGGGATGGGACTTGGAGCTTCTAGCCTTTTATCCAGACACCTTTCTTGATGAATGAACAGGTCAACAGTATGCAATAACTTGTAAGTATGTCAGTTGATCTTAACAGAAAGAACTTATTTTGAAACTAAACCACACCCATAGCTTGCATGACGACAGTTAAGAGAGCAAATATTGGCATGACATGCTGTCCCGGGGGAGGGAGTCTGGGGTCATATTCTTCCCGGAAGGAAGAACCTGTGCAGCTCTGGGAAAAGGAAGCCAAAATCTGTAGGCAAAGCTCACCTGCCAAGAAGAGCAGCTGCGGTGGTGCCCCTGCCCACCCTGTGGTGGGGAGACAGGCTGAAATGGCAACCTTTGAGTTGCAGACGGAGTGCATTGTGGAAGCCTTGTTCTCTGACCTCCTCAGTGAAGATCAGAGTGACTGCCGGAGCCTGGAGATGGACTTCGGAGGTAGGACCTGTGTGGGAGGAAAAAAATGGTTTGTTTGCTGCAGATGATAGGAGCGTTTTGACGGAACATTTGAAGGAAGGAGGCTGTAGCTTGCGGTTGTTGGGTTTCCTAAAATGCAAGCTTGTGATGACTTCCAAGCTACTTCTTTTTGGGGGGAAAAGTTGGAGCAAGGTAGAGTTGTTTGAGTCCCGGGCAGCCCACAGCTGCCGTCTGTCTTGGCAGGGTCGGGCAACGGGGGCTGTGAAGGACGGCCACCCCGCCTGCCGCCCCTCGGGGCTGCGGGTGCTGGGCAGTGCCGGCAGGGAAGGTGCCGCCGGCTGCTGTGCCCCGCACGGGTCTGCAGGTCCTGAGTAACTTCCTCCGAACCAACAGGCTGGGACAAGTTTTAACTGTCATTATCAAAAAGAAAGCTTATATTGCTTATTGGATAAAAACAGTTGCTTTAACATGTAAGCCAGAACGTGGTCTTTGCTTCACAAAGCTCCTAAAACCATTTAGGCTGCTTTGGTTTGCTGGGCAATGCTGCAAGAAACCCAGCATTCGCCTGTGTTCATATCACTTTTCCCATTAATTTCTTGGCAACGAGCCAGTTAAAATGTCCCAGGAGACACTGGGATCTTGCTGACACCAGATAGCAAGCAAAGTCCATTTCTCAAAAGCTTCATGGAAGTTTGTCGTTTTGCCTAAAGAAAAAGTCTCCGTTGGCGTATTGCTCGTTTCAGTCCCTGGATTAGGCGCTTGTGCCTCCGCTGTCCCGAGCGCTGTGAAACTGCCCCCACCCCCAGGAGACGCAGGCTTCTGCCCAGGGCTGCGGGCACCGAGTGCTGGCACCTGAACCGGATGAGTTAAACTGGAATTAGCGGCTGGATGAGGGAGGGGGTTGGATCAGGAAGCGATGCCTCCAGATAAAGTTGCCCACTGCTTTATGTCGAAAGATCCTGCTTTCAGTTCCTCATGACTTCATCAAGCATGGAAATGGTTTTGCTGAAGCTTTCAGTGTCGGGTAGCTCCTTCTGGCTGAACCTCGTTTTGGTAATGTTCAGAAAAAATAAATAATACTCTGTTGGTTTTTTTCCCCTCAGGATGCTTTACGCCACCCCTTTAAGTAACGCTGAGAAGTTCTAATGGTTTTATATACTTGAGATTTGTGAAGGATGCCTTTTGCTCCTTTGTGAAAACCTTCCCAAATTTGGGTCACTATGAGACTTTGAAACGTTGCAATTTGCACTTGCTCGGAAGAGACCTTGAGTATAATATCTACATTCTCCGAAGACGGCACGCAATGATCTGCAGCCTCGAAGTGCTGGGGGAACGCAGGCAGGACTTTCCCATCCGATCGCTGCTGCTGTGTCGCCGCAGTCAGAAGCGAGAGCTGAGATGTTTTCCGAGTCCTCTGACCTTCCTTGCTTGCTTCTGGCAGCCTGGGAGGAGGGAGCTGCCAGAACCCGGAGGGGTAAAAGGGAGGCCTTAGGGATGCCCTTGGAGAAACAGGAGTGGGGATGAACCGAAACTTGGGCATGAAGCAACTGAGGTGGGAGGAAAGAGACCTGGACAAACCCATGGTACAGGGCCCCTTGGTCCCTGTAAATCAATGAATACTTGAATGGCTGCACAGTATTTCTCAGGGACTTTGGTTCTGCATTGCCCTAGATGTCTTGTCAGAGGTCTGCCCTGCGTTAACCTGCGTGCTTGAGGCAGTAACTACCGTAGCGCCCGTTGAAGGCAGCCTTTTGGACGCAGCAGGCAGCTAAAGAGGCTGGGCTGTCAGCGCCGGTTCTCTTTCTCCACCTTTACTGGGTTGTGCTGAAACCCCTCACCCTGCTCTCTCTGCCCTAGGGCCTGTGCAGTCTGCAGGAGAGCCTCTAACCACGTTTGACCCAGTCATCATCGCCAGTCGCCTGCGGCGCATGGGGGACCAGTGCAACATGGATTTTGAAAGGAATTCCTCAGAGGCTCTTGTTGAAGTGCTCCAGGGAAAGGTAAAGCACACCTTGTCCTGCCTGGCCTGGCCCGCTCCTTGTCTGAAGGGCAGCCTTGTGTCGGAGAATAGCAAAAGCCCGGGGAGCAGCACAGCTTACGCTGCAGGAGTCGGGGGGTCTGAGGGGAAGGGGCACGACACCCCGCAGCCTCCCTCCATCTTTGTGTTGCGGGCGGCGTGCGAGCCACCAGGACAGAAGCTGGACAAGGCACTGTGGGAGCTTCCAAAGGAGCTGCTTTTATCACCTGTGAAGCCCTGGAGCTGCCTGGGCCGACCTGTTATTGCAGGAGATGCGCTGCAGCCCGGAGCGGTGGGGGGGCAGCTGATGTGCAGAGGGGGAAAGGAGGAAGGCTGCGGTGAGAGGGGCAGAGCGGGCGCTGCAGCCTGCTGCAGGGGATCTGGCTACAGCAGCCCTGCAGCCAGAGCTCTCGTGCCAGCACGCTTCTGGTGCGGGCGCTGCAAGCAGTTCTAGCTTCAGGTTCGGCGCAGCTCTGGGTGGACTACCAGCTCTCCTCCCCAGTCCTTCAACCGTGCTCCCCGCTGCCGCGGTTTGTACGAGCCGCGGTAAAGGAGAGCCCTGCCTTGACTGCCCTGTGCTGTATGGGTGTCACCAGGAAGCTGTGGGGTCACCTGCTCTGGTCGTGGGTAGAAGCAGCAAATGCAGGAATTTAACTGAATGCTGGATTTTGAGCCAAGACTTACTTATCACGCTGTCATTTAAAAAGAAGCTCAAACTGCCGTCTTGATGCTTGCAGATGGAGAAGTTTGGGGCTGCCGTGGACTCTCTCAGCAGGATCTGGAGTGACCAGAACCCTGGGCTGGTCTATGAGAAAGCTTTTCTCTCTATTTCTGTGAAACTGGTAATGCACGTTGCTAAGAAAATCCCAGCTATGGTGCATCCCAACCAACTCATACAAGTGATTAATGGAAATTCTCAAGTGAGAAGCTACATCGAGGCCTGCGGCGGATGGGTAAGGATGTGAAGGTGGCGGTGATGTTTGCCTGGGTGTCCATGGCTCTTCCTTCGTGTCTCTCACCTCTCCCACCCGCCTCGCTCGGCTCGTCACTGATGCCCAGCGTGTCCCCCAGACCCGTGCAGCAGCTAACTCAGCGTATAGCTGTGGGAGCACGGCTTTGCTAAACACCTCGGTGAAGTCTTACTGAAGCCAGCATCAATCTTCCCATCTGCTTCTCTGTCTCAGGGTCTAATTCCTTGTCTCAGTATCTTGGGAGCTCAGCTTGCTCCTTTAGATGAGAATCAAAATAATGAAGGATGGGTCATACAAAAAGCAACTTTACAGACCCCGCTTGGTGCATTTTACCAGGGGAAGGGATGAAATCGGTCCGGGAGAGGTTTGCAGCAGGAGGCGGGTTGCCCGTCCCTCCATCCCGCGTCCTTCTCTTCCTGCTGGTTCCTTTAAACCTGCCTTGAATTCTTTCTCTAAACACATACAGATGGGGGTTTTTGTTTGTTTTCAGGAGAACTTGGACAATTGAGAGAAGGGCTATCCTACTTTCCAGAAGGTGAAGCTGAGCTTTTCATTGATTTAACTGGGAGTAATGCTGTTGTATTTCTTCAGGAGACTGCAAGCAGAACTCTACATATAAACAACATGTAAAAGACGTTCTGTATCACTAAAAATAAAAATTAATAAGTCTTTGTTGCTATTAATTTGTTTTTCTCCTTGTGTTTCTCTTAAATATAGCCATAAAAGTGGGCTTCACTCTTATTCAAGGTTCCTAGGTCAGTGCTTAGTGCTAATTTTCAGACTCGTCAGGTGAATATTTGTTTTAAAACACGTTTCCATTAGTTATTCTAAAGATCTCTCTTTTTTCCTCTCAGTTGATTCAAAGGCTTATTTGTGCAAAGCTGAAATTTGACATTATTTTAAACTAAGACTGATGGCTCTTCCAGAGTGATTAGCAGCCCTTTGCCTTTTAGCAGCTGGATACAGAAATCTTCTGGCTATTCTGTACCCGATCTGCGAGAAAACACAGAAGGGGAATACATTTAATGACTGTAGTTCCAATCAGAAAGAGAAACAGGCGTGGTACAGCCAGTCTGAGGTCTTTGTGCAAAATGTAAAATATTGGAAAGATCAAGGTTGTGACTCCCATACCTTTTTTTGGTTTTTGGGGGATTGTTGTTTTTAGGTTAGTTTCATTTAGTTTAGTTTTCCCTACTTCTGCAAGTAGACAAAATGGATGGCCTTCAAGAACTTCGCTCTCTGCATCTCCTTCCCACTTCAGAATGACCTCCACTTTGTCCTATGGGGGTTTTTTGCACACCTGTAAATGTAACTGAGTGCAAGTGAGGTGAATGAGGCTGGCATAATTAATTGGATTTCTATAGTCTACTGGAGTCAGATTTGACCCTCTCTTCTAGCCCAAGCTCCCAGACATGGGGAATTGTGGCTGGAAGAGCTGAACTGAAGCATGTTGATAGGTTTTCTCTGTTCAGAAGCCGTCGTGCGGTTCAGGGCAGTAACACGTGCAAGCCAGGTTCAGGTGCTCACCCTCTGCCTGAAGTATTCTTTCAAAATATTTTGCAGTTAAGGTGGAAAACAGGCTAAGTTATAAGTAAGTGTGAAGGGGAACTGTGGATTTTGCATGCCGTTTTAGGGACTCTTCTAGCTGCAGCGTGTTCCCGGTCTGAAGCTTTCCCCGCGGCCGCCTGGCAGTGAAGCGCGGCTGCGCTTGGGCACGTGTGCCCAGCTGCTGCCCCCGTGCTCGCCCCTCTGGACCCCAGCAGGGCCGTGCTGCTGGTGGCGGCTGGACACGGTGCTTAAAGAAGTCAGATGTTGGGGTGCTCGGCTCTGGTCTCCAACATCTGACCACCTTCGTGGCACGGGGAAACCATCGGGCACGCCGGAGGCACGCTGTGGCTGAGGGACCTGGGGCAGCTCTGCTCCTGCCCAGCTCAGCGCTGCCTGCCCTTGCTGTGGGGCACGCGTTTTAAAAGGAGGCGCTAGGGCCCCACGTTGTGTGTTTTGTTTTATTTGACCACGGTATCTGTTACGTACTAATTTCCTTCAAGACTTGTGATGAAGTCAGTAAACCACAGCCTGCCGCGAGTGCTCTCCGGGCTGGTGCTTTCCGCTGCGGCACGCACTTGACATGTCCGTTCCC